CAATACTAGGAAGTCTAGGACAGAGCCAAAACAAGAGCCCAAATTCATGCTTCTTTTCATGATTAGCTACAAAGGCACAATGGAACTCAAGCAGAAGCATTATGTACTAGTACCAGTACTACCTCACGGAAGGAGTTAGCCTAACGATCGAATTGTCAGCCATTAACTCATTGAAATTATTGAATTCAGCTACATGGCTATGATTTGTTCGAGCACATTCTGTTGCCAAACACTCCTTCAAATCCACCGCTACTTGGCTCATGCTTGGCCTCTTGATGGCATTTATGGATACACATGCCATTGCTATTTCCACAGCTTTCCAGACGGAGTTGGTATTGAAATTTCCCTCTAACCTCGGATCGACGATGCTGTTAATGTCTCCATTAGCAAGCATGAAACCAACCCATTGACTTATGTGAATTCTCTCATGCGTCCTCGTTAAAACCGGTCTGCTTGTGATAATCTCCAACAGCACAACCCCAAAGCTATAAACGTCACTTTTCTCATTTAACCTGTTTGATAGGTAGAACCTGCAAGCCAAACGATACATGGAACTCATCAGATCACATTTTCTGATGCAAAGGACTTTGCTAAAATGTCCACCTCTTTCCTAATTCTTCTTGCTCTTTTAGTTAATTTGTGTTTGCTTCCCAGACTACTTGTGAATTTAAGTACCAGTAAAGATGATAATGGGAAAATTAAAAGTGTGAAATACTTACTCAGGATCAAGGTAACCAGGAGTGCCAGCAAGAAGGCTGGAAGCACGAGTTCCATCATTTGTAGGGAAATTTCTAGACAGGCCAAAATCAGATATTTTGGCTTGGAAATTTCATTCAGCAAGATGTTGGTTGATTTCACATCTCTGTGCATTATAGGCGGCTTACAACCACAATGCAGATACTCCAATCCTGCATTTTAAAATTCTTACATCACTCACACAAAACTTCAAACAAATAAAAGAGATTCTTGCTAAAAAAAAGGATCATTAAAATCATTTTATTAGTTGCAGACCTTGTGCAGCATCTGTTGCTATTCGAAGTCTATCTTCCCAAGTCAAGATACTTGATCTGCTATCTGCATCCATAAGAAGAACGGAAGAGCGTAAGCCTTGTTTCTTTCTGTCTTAACTTACAAAGGAGCCCTAATCATATGGTGGTGCAAGAATTAAGTTACAGAGTTCCCAAAAATTTGGAAGTACTACTTGCAGCCAAACCTGAAAGATGGTTCAATAAGTTTCCGTTGGCCATATACTCGTAGACAAGCCCTACGTTGATTTCGTCATTGCAATATCCAACAAGGCTTGTCAAGTTTTTATGATGAACTCTCATAAGAAGATTAACCTGCAATTTAAGAGGCCACAAATAAACACATGTCAATTCATCACATAAGATTGAGCTCAAGACATTGTGTTAGTTTATTTAATTTGACAAACATGCCTCTGCATGAAATTGTTGGAACCCTTGAACAGACGATGCTGAAAGCATCTTTATAGCTACTCGAGTATGGTCCATGTAGCCATGATAAACGGTTCCAAATCCACCTTTGCCAAGAACCCTCTCAAAGTTGTTGGTCATCTTTAGTATCTCAGAATATGTAAACTGTCGCTTTGTTGATTCTAATGACCCATACTGAGGGCTGGCTTTTTCATCTATGACATCTCTGTTGATTATTGGCTCAAAAGCAAGGTTGCTTTTGGCTACTTTTGCACCCATGTGAAATGTTGCTTTCGGTCAAAAGTAGAATATTGTAGCTAGCTGAATGGCATTGGCAGACAAAATGAAATGGGATGCCTTTGCAGAGGAATATTTTGCCTTTGGACAGCAGCATATGGGAGACATAATGATAGATAGCATTGATGGCTTACCCTACTTGTTTGGAGGCCTTTGGCCGTGGGTTCCTTGAAGAGCCAACTTCATTGGCTATAAATGAGAAGCATGCAGCCAGCATTTAAGAAGAAGTGAAAAGCTGCAGAGAGAGAAGTTAGCAGAGAGAAAGAAAAATAAAGAGTTGGGCAGCAAACTTTGTTGTTGTCGTTGGTTATTTTTCCTTTTCTCTAAAATTGTACTCAATTTGTATTCTCCTTATATTCTTGAGTGTGTGAGCTTGGGTATATTTGGGGCTTGGGTTTCTGAGTGTTAAACACTATTGTATTCTCTCATTTGATTATAGTGGAATACTCCGTCGTCTCCAAACTGGATGTAGGCATTGCCGAACNNNTTGCTATTCGAAGTCTATCTTCCCAAGTCAAGATACTTGATCTGCTATCTGCATCCATAAGAAGAACGGAAGAGCGTAAGCCTTGTTTCTTTCTGTCTTAACTTACAAAGGAGCCCTAATCATATGGTGGTGCAAGAATTAAGTTACAGAGTTCCCAAAAATTTGGAAGTACTACTTGAAGTCAAACCTGAAAGATGGTTCAATAAGTTCCCATTGGCCATATACTCGTAGACAAGCCCTACTTTGGTTTCGTCGTTGCAATATCCAACAAGGCTTGTCAAGTTTTTATGATGAACTCTCATAAGAAGATTAACCTGCAATTTAAGAGGCCACAAATAAACACATGTCAATTCATCACATAAGATTGAGCTCAAGACATTGTGTTAGTTTATTTAATTTGACAAACATGCCTCTGCATGAAATTGTTGGAACCCTTGAACAGACGATGCTGAAAGCATCTTTATAGCTACTCGAGTATGGTCCATGTAGCCATGATAAACGGTTCCAAATCCACCTTTGCCAAGAACCCTCTCAAAGTTGTTAGTCATCTTTAGTATCTCAGAATATGTAAACTGTCGCTTTGTTGATTCAAATGACCCGTGAGGGCGGGCTTTTTCATCTATGACATCTCCTCCTAAAAACATGACAAGTTTAATGAGCAAGTATCTTATACAACCAAAACCTTCAGTCTTCATCATTTATCGCCGAAAGAAATTACTTTAACAAATTTTGGAAGTCTTACCCTCTTGCCTATTCCTTTTGAGGCTCCACCACCAGATAGCTACTGCAACTAACAAGAGGATGGAAATTCCAGCGGTTGGCACTACTATGGGAATAATGAAATTGTGCTTCTTCTTTAATTTGCAAGAACCATGCCGAGATAGATGTGGATTATCGCACAAACTGAGATCAAATGGTTGGAAATTGCAGTTAGATTTGATAAATTCTAATGACTGATTTTATAAAATATATATGTTATATAACTCTCAATAATCAAATTCTAAGGAAATACCTGATAATTATATAACTTTGGATTCTAAGGATATTTGAAAATTAAAATAGAAACACTTATGGTATGTTAATAGAAAATTAAAAGGACAAAGTACTTAGGGTCATTTTCAAATTTACAAGTACATACTCAAAGTCAAGGAACCTACAAATTTCCCCCTCCGTTAAACAAACCGTTATTAAGTCTGTTAAATGCTGATATGTCAAACATAAGCCCCATTTTTAGTGACATGGAACTCCAGATGGACAAACAAATAATAAAAAATTCTTTACTTTTTAAAAATTAAAAAGAAAAAGAAAAAAAATCTCTCCTTTCCTCCCACCAAGCGCCGCCATCAGCAACACACCCCTTCCAACCACCATTGAAGCCACCCCGATCCAAACCCCACGCCACTCAAACCCCCACAACAGCAACCAAATAGCTTGGGGGCTCTTTGCCGTGACTTTGAGTATGTACTTGTAAAGTCCCCAAAGGTGGGTATATGAACTTGAAAATGACTGTATAGTTTGGGAGGATCTTTTGTAATTTGTCCAAATTAAAATAGAAAAGACTCAATTTTAGGGTGAGCGAAACACTGAATTTGAAGGGCATGATTTACTAACAAAGGCATACCTTAATAACAGAAAACCATTATTCTTTCTTTCAATCAGTCCTACCGGAACCAAGCCTGTGAACTTGTTTTTCTCCAAGTTTCTGCAAAGATAAAATCTATCACGGTGCTTTATAACAAATTAAGCATTTACAGTACTTTAGACATATAACCAAATAACTTACAGCACAGTCAAATTCTGGAATTTGGACAAAAATTCTGGAATTGGTCCTGTTAAGTTGTTGTTTGATAGATCCCTGAAATCATGAGCAGCTCAATTCATTTACATTAAACGGAATTGTCTACCTTCTCATTACATTAGCAAATGCAGTACGACCACTTACAAAGACTGTATCATTGTGAGATTGGATATAGAAGCAGCTATCTCCCCTGTTAAGCCACTCGAGGACAAGTTCCTGATTGTATGTTTTGTAACTTCACTAGTGAACACATGAGGTACAATTAACTCAAATCAGAAGAAGTTTGTTTGAAGTTACATATACTTACAAGGATATGATTCTTGGTGACTCAAATTCTTGATAGTTACACTTTACTCCTTGCCAAACGTAATCTTGAGGGGCACATGGATCTCCTTGCCAATTTCTTTTAATATTATAAGTTGACTTGATCGATGCGATTGTGTCAACTAATATTTTCACACGCAAACAGAAGATTTCATCAGAAGAATTCATATGTATACTTCCATACTGGTAAGGTACTAAACGAGAGGAAGCCACTTGTGTAAGGAAGAACTAATTAGTTAGTGGTTACCATCTTCTTGGTTTGTTTCTGCTTCTACAAAATGTTTAACCAAATAAATCTCGAAAGCATTGAGGATAGGTGGAAGGGTAGAGTTCTCAGCCCTGACGATTGAAATGTTAGCAGATAGTGCATTAGTACTCCAAGCCCCCTTGCTTTCAATGACATATGAGGTCAAGTAAGGAGGAGCGAATGGCTCTAAAGTACGGTGTCCGTTCCTGATAATATATTGCAGTCTAGATTGGTTGAGTTGGAGCTTCTCAACTTCTGCAAAATGCAGGTAACTGTAATATTCTGCATTTTTGTCAGGCAACGAGAAAACAATACTCAAGGAATCACTTGGATTTTTTGGCGTTGAAGCAGTACTCATAACAACTGATGGTAGTTGGTACTGTTCTACAGATTCAGAGTTGATGGTGGATGAGGTGTTTAATTGTGTCCAATCATCGAGGTCATTATAGGCATACCAGAATCGATCAAGATTTATTTTGCAGAGATATATACTATGAACCCTGAGATATATAAATCTTTAATTTGAACCCTGAGATAAATAAACCCTGAGATATATAAATCTTTAATTTGAACCCTGAGATATATACTATGCTACAAAAATTAAAGATTTATTTTTTCTTGCTGCTGATATTTATACCTGATTGATCATCTTGGGAATGAACAAGTAGCGTCAGATTAAGAGCGAAACCAGCAAGCAGAAAGAGGAGTTGCTTGGATGTCCACGACATGACTACAAGGGAAGCAAAGACACAAATTTAAGTAGGTATTTTGTGTTGAATTAATCAAGACTAACAGTATCCCACAAATTAGGTCCAAGGTGCAGTTCAAATTCTGGTATCTTATTTTGGCCATCATAATTCCCATATAAAAAGCTTGCTCGGATCAAATATTTGTTGCCGCTTGTAACATTTATCTCGTAGCAATTCCTGGTTCCTTCGGGGAAGCTCCTAACAGACCCGTATGGCTGTTGATAGTTACCTGTGTAAGTAGGTAACAGGGATTTACTTGCACCGGTGTCTATGAAGGTTGCGTCAGAAATGTAGTTAATGCCAGTTTTCTTTTCAGAATAACCTGAATCTGTCTGGAGGCCGCAATCTATGCTAATGAACCCTGAGATATATAAACACATATATGTAAAAAAGAGAGGTATATATCTTAGCTATATACTATGCTACCAAAATTAAAGATTTATTTTTTCTTGCTGCTGATATTTATACCTGATTGATCATCTTGGGAATGAACAAGTAGGGTCAGATTAAGAGCGAAACCAGCAAGCAGAAAGAGGAGTTGCTTGGATGTCCACGACATGACTACAAGGGAAGCAAAGACACAAATTTAAGTAGGTATTTTGTGTTGAATTAATGGATATCATTTTATATATAGAAGTAATTAACATTGCTCCGCAGACGTAGCGAGTCAAAAAGCGGTTTTCTAAAACAGAGAGGATGACTTTGATTTTTCCCCATTTACAGACTTTGACCCATTGACCACTGGTACAGCGAGAAGAAAGTGAAGTCAATGTTGTTGCATGTGCATGATTTAATTGGGTTGAAAACATATGGGGAGACTTGAAAGACCATATATAT